GGTGAGTGCACTCTTCGTGTTGTGTGGGCTTTTGGGTTGAGTTCCGAACACGCCTTCGGAACTGCTAGGGTTGGTTGGGCGCTTAGTAAGGTAGTGTTCATTTCCTAACCTCGAAACGCGTTTAGGCCTCTGAAGAAGACGACCAAGTCGAAACGTTAGGCCGTAGAATGAAGATTTCCACCTCAAATCCTCGAGTGGCATAGCAATTTAAACATCCGTTTCTACTTATTCTCCTCTAGAACAGTAGTGTTGTGACAGCGCGCCACTTGCCACGTGTGTGGTCTGGGGATCGATTCCCACATCCGCTACCACACAAGCCAACCAAACACTCCTTCCTGGACTAGATACTTGGTATCCGTCACTCCGAAACTAACAAAACACCGATTTTTGAATGGCTCATCTCATGACTCATTGCCCGAGGTCAATTCACATTTGAAAGCTCCCATTCAAAGTTCACGGAGTAGAGTGCTCGCAGCATCCTGAAAAGCAGCTGGACACGATAATTTGCTACTCGGCCAAAAATGTTAGCAGGGCGCTGTATAGTGGGGAAAACGGCGACAAACGAAGTAAAACGGTCAACAACCTGCAAAAAATTCATTCTTAATGTCACAAAAAGCGATTTTGAACGAGTTTCCCTTAATCATCTTGCCAATAACTGCTACGGCAGAGCGGCTGCTTCTATGCACTCATATACCCCTTTAGCATCGCAGCCGCTTCATATCAGTCCCTTCCTTCACGCTGCGCTTCGTAAATGAAGCGGTAGGAGCGTCAGGATCGGTCGTCCATTTGTGTGCGGGCGGGCGCGGTGGGCGTTTGAGTCGGTATGTTGTGGCGTGATAATGTGTTATAAGACTCCCTTGAAACCTCCCTTGAAAGAAGCGCTATGCAGCGCCCGATCAGAGTTGCGGAATTCCGTTCTGCCAGGCGTATGTAACAATCCTACTCGCCTTACAAGGGAGGTCTTTCAGGTCGTGGCGCGCTTTTTGGAAATGGTTTGTTGCTTGTTGTAGGGGTCCATACAAGGATCACAAAAATGGGTTTCATTTTTGCTATGCGTTTCTGGGGAGGTCAAAAACTGAGTGAAAAGAATTTGACAAGAATGGGCGATTTTAACTATCTTAAAGACACATGGTACGCTCAAACACATTGAGGGTGTATGAGACTATCAGCCCCCCAGCTGTCGATGTGTCGTGGTCCCCCGCCCAAACATGCCCAGGAATGGAGATACAGGACCGTGAAACACGCTAATTCCTCCATGCTCCGCCTTACACCTTTTTGCGGCGCAGATTCCCGTCCTTCATAACATCCGTTGCAAGCGCGCGTGTCGCGTGCGGCTCCTTGGCACTTTGCCAAGTCCTTTAATTGCGCTCTCAAATACGAGTAAAACGCAATTTCCTGATGCGGATAACATTGGAGGTGCTACAAAATAAGAACAGAAGATGATGACGAGGGCCAGAACTCAAGAGCAACTCGGCTGCATCTGCAGTATCCCAGAGGCCGCGCATTCCCACAAAACATGAGAATAAAAACAGCCCAAGCGTCCCACTCGTTTGTTCTAAGTATTTCTATGGCTTTGGCGCCGCCGGATCGTAGAAATTTACAGGCGATTTTAACTAATTTGCCTTTCCTTGATTTTTCATTTTTGTTTTATTTACATTTACATCGTTGTGCTTCATTTCTAGCCTGTGTCATCTTCATCTCCTTGTACATGGATTTTGAAGCATGAGCAACACCTAAAATTTTATTCGCATCAGGAAATTGCGTTTTACTTGTATTTGAAAGCGCAATTAAAGAACTTGGCAAAGTGTCAAGGACTTACGACGGATGTTATGAAGGACGGGAATCTGCGCCGCAAAAAGGCATTGGGCGGAGCATGGACGAACTAGCGTGTTTCACGGTCCTGTATCTCCATTCCTGCGCATGTTTGAACGGGGAAACCGCTATGCTTCGACAGCTGGGGGCTGCTAGTCACATACACCCTCAATGTTGATCGCACTATGCGTCTTTAAGATCTTCTTCAATTTCCGAACTTCTTCCCATCTCTTTTCTCAAGCAAAAAAAACTGGTAGAGTACAACTCTCCTCGCTGGGGATTTCCAGCCTACCATGTGCTCTGGGAACAAGGTCACGACCATAATCCGCTTGTTTATGTTCTCCCAGTGTTTCACGGTCCTGTATCTCCATTCCTGGGCATGTTTGGGTGGGGGACCATGACACATCGACAGCTGGGGGGCTGATACACCCTCAATGTGTGTGAGCGTACTATGTGTCTTTAATGGGCTCCGTTCTGGTTGTAACTTTGAGCATGCATAGTTTATGAGGTGCTCCTTAATTAGGCTTCAAAAATAGTTTCAAATAAAGTCAAAATGATCAAAAGGTGAGTATCAGGTAGTAACACAATTGGCGCAGCAGTGATGTTTTTGTCAGCGGTCCCCTCATGCTCACTGTCGGCGGATCGGTTGGCGCAGCGGGTAACTGGATACTGGATGGGACGTCCATACGGGACTTTGTGGGTCGGGTCCTCCTTGTGGCAAATTTTTTGTATTTCTCAATTTTCTATCCATTCGTTCCAGTAGATCAAAGATATCTCCAGCATCCTGGACCGACGATCGGATTCAACAAAGGGGATGTTGCCGTCCCTTGTCGAGGGGACAGTAACTGTTCTTCCTTGGCGTTCGTTAGGTGTAGTTGGTGCAATAGATGCACATGCTTCCATGGAGTTAGCCGCTGCGCCATCCGATCCGTCGACAGTGAGCATGAGGGGACCGCTGACAAAAACATCACTGTTGCGTCGGTGCATGCCAAGTGTGTTACTACATGATACTTACATTTTGACTTTATTCAAAACTATTTTCAAAGCCTACTTAAAGAGCACCTCATAAACTATGCAGGCTTAAGAACGGAACATATATATTAATAATATATTTAGAATCGCCCATTCTTGTCGAATTCTTTTCACCCCGTTTTTGACCTCCCTAGGAACGTATAGCAAAATGAAACCCATTTTTGTGGTCGACCCCTACAAAAAGCAACAAAGCCATTTCCAAAAAGCGCGCCACGACCTGAAAAACCTCCCTTGTCAGAGACTTATCGTGCCAACTGCCTTTAAAAGTGATTCTATGGCAACAAAAGCTAAGGTGCCAACTGCCTTCAAAACTGATTCTATGGCATTGAAAGCTTTCCTGGCAGTTTTATGATGCAGTAAAACTCAGGTTTCATGATACAGTCAAACTTCACACCGTTCTGCTGAATCCAGAATATTTGGGTGCTTTTGGACGTACGCAGCGACAAGGTCCACAATCACGTGTAGGTCACATTTGGCCCACTGAAGGAGGTTTTTGACCTACCTGAGTGTTCCTACAATCCCTCTCATACTTTTTTTCGTGACGCTTTACGATCTTATCCTTTCCAGAGCCAGACATTGAAAATGAATACAATATCAATGTGGCAACGGCTTGCCCTACCATATTTTTCGATATCCTGTTCAGCAACTACTTTTCAGCTCAATTTCTTTGGAATAGCTTTTCAGATGTGTTTAAATATAGCAGACAAAAATCGGTTCTAATTCGAACAGCCTGACAGTGTCATCAGAAAGAAAAAACACGCAACTTGGGCTTCTTCTTGGCTTCTTTCCACGGCGCTGCGCTCCTTTTTTTCAGCGAATGTCTACTGCTTGAAGGCTCGGTCCGCGATCAGGTATAGAAGTTGGAAATGTGGTGTCGGGAGGGTAGTGTGGATCCGCGAGGAACAACCTTGTACCGGTTTTGCGGCAAAAAATTGTAAGGGAGGGGCGCTATAGCGCAATATAGGTTCAGTGACTCCTCCTTTTTTCCAGTGACTCCGCCTCCAGACTCCGCCTCAAAACCCGCCTTTCAGTGAATAACGGAACTGCAGGACGAAAATCGTCACTTGTACGGTCGTAGAGTTCTTATCGGGGAATCAGCTGTGCGGATGAGGGCGTAGTGTTGGAGATGGAGTTCATTGGGCACGTACAAAGTGGGACCAAAATGGGGTTCTATCTAGGGCAGGTGGCGAGTTTTTTCTGCGTTTTCCTTCACTATCGAGTTACTCAGCGCGTCTATATGCGAACCCCTAATCCACTATCTGCGATGGCATCGCGGGTTTTGCCTTTAATGTAATCGACGATGTTTTTTGTCCGATTCGAAATGTGTTCGACTTCATTTGAAAGCGTTCACTATGAATCGCGCCTTGCCCTGAGCATTTCGAAAATTGCCTAGTAAGAATGCTGTTCCTACCATTTCCATTTTGGATTGAACACTTTTGAAACTAAAACGGACTTTTTGAACCAGAAGGGACACTTTTCAAACCAAATCGGACAGTTGTCAACCAAATCGGACATACGCAAATCTCAAAGCCTCCTATACATCAGCTACCAAAGCATTTAATTCATTCTATACATTGTGACGTCCTAGAACACATGCGTTTGAGAACGCATCGTAGGCCGTGGTATAGTGAGAAATGCAGTCACGCCTCTAGCTACATGTCATAGAGTGTATGTAGAGTCAGTCAGAGCCTCTGAGAAGTCTCCATGAGTGTCACTAACCTTCCTTCAACGACTCAAATCTCTGAGCAGCGTCTCACGAATGCTAGAAGTTGCTTATCTCAGTAATGTGGTAAAGTAATGCAAAAATTTATTCAAATGCTATGGGGGTTGCTTGTTTCGACTCCTTCGGAAGATATGGATCCTGTTTGAATCTAATCCAATTGCTTAACAGTGCATAGATTGACCCGAACGTTTTTTTCAAAAACCTACTTATCCAACAACAGTTACTCACGCCACCAACTTGTAAACTTACTACAAACTTATAACCAAGCAGCTTTACATGTATCGCTATGCCTACATTATCATTTACATAGCTACTTCTCAGGCCAAGCACTGCATGTCTGGTTGATAAGGATTAATGAAGTGCCAGAGAAAGCTCTGCCTAATCCCACGTGGTGTTCAATTGCCTGAAGTAGGCATCTGATGCCCCTCGATGATCATTCTACTGCGCGGGCTCCATGCATCACTCCGATTTTCGTGTTGAACGGTAGAAGAGATCGTAAGCGAGCTCCTCCAACAGCAACCGTAAACACCGAAACGATAACAATGTAGCACCTTAAAATATGTTATCGCATTTGCCAGAAACGAAAAAAAACCTGTAACATCGCACTTACACCGCAAAGAAGAGCTGCGCTAGCACATAACCAGACCACTGTGAATCACCAGCTAACGTATATGTTGCTAGCATGAAAGATAGGCACGCGACCAGGATGCATGCTGTCCACATTATCGATAACTGCATGAGTATCTTAAAAACTTTTTTAATGGGAGTCATTACCACGTATTTGGAAGGGCTGTCACACGAGCCCAATTGATGTATTTCTTTCGCTTTTGTGGACGCCTTCTCCTTAACTACAGTAGCATTATGCTTGCTAACGTTAGATACATAATTTCACGTGTGCGTGAATGTCATAAAGTAAGGAGATTTATTGGGTGTTCATCAGAGGTGGTGTTTGGCTCCTTGGAAACATGATTTGCTGTTAAATTAGTAGGAAGGACACCTCACCTTCATAACTCTGAGATTTTCTTTCAGCTGGAACTTTGTGCTCAGAGTATAAATAGCATTTCTCCTATGAATACCATGGCTTATATTTCGTAATTTCACAAGATCGCGTCGGTACAAGGTCACATACGCGATGCAATAGCCGATAACCATTACTGCCGTACCCCACGTTTTGAATGATAAGTTGGAATATCCTAGAACAAAATAAAATATCGTTCATCGGAAACTTATTTACACAGGTGAAGTCTGCTATTCTTTTGCCTTGACAATTGTGTATCCTACTATTGTAATCCGCTAAGTTTGTCTGTTGGTGTGTGTGTGTGTGTGTTTGACCGGAAATTCATAACTTCCTTCAAAAGGAGCGATAGAGCGCTCAAACTGATAAGTGATGTAGGGGGTCGGGCAGGAACACTATTGGTAGGTGGCAGGAACTGATAAGAGCTGATAAGATACCGCAGGGGTCTTAGAAGGGGAGGGTCACCAAATTCATAGCGTCGGCCAGAGTAACGACCGGACGTTGGATCCAAGTAGCAGGATGGGAACATTTTCGGTGGGTGGCAGGAACTGATAAGAGCTGATAAGATAGCACAGGGGTTCTAGAAGGGGAGGGTCACCAAATTCATAGCACCGGCCAGAGCAACGACGGGACCTTGGATCCAAGTAGTATATTGGTGGGTGGCAGGCAGTGATAACAGCTGATAAGATACCATAAGAGGCCTTACAAAGGGAAGCTCATCAACATTATAAATTGCGCCACAGCGACGGTAAGGTGTCGTTTCCACGATAGGGGGCAGGATGGGAACCTTATCGGTGGGTGGCAGGACGTTATAACAGCTGATAGGACACAACAGCCCTTAACAACACGAGTCGTAGCAACACTGGGAACTACCCTCCAGCAAGTGATTCAGACGTTTTTAGCGAACATGGTGGGAGACTTTGGTGGCAAGAGACATGTTGTGATACTGCTCCTGACAAGGGCTTAGAGTTAGTATCTGTCCCCCTCCCTACTCTGCTTGCGATTGAGCTTCACCACTGTGGTCCAGGAATCGATGAGCAAAGGCTTGGTGAGCCAGGCACTTTCTATCCTTGAGCTATATAGACCAAACTTCTTTCAACCGCTGAGTTGCCCTATTTCCATCAAATGGATGGGTGTTTTTAGAAACGTGATAAGCATCAGACATTGGCAAATGTTCATTAAAAAGGTGAAATATGGTGCAGTAGGCCGTACTTCGAGACATGGAATCAAGCCAAGTGTTAGTGGTCAGCACAGAAATCCTATCAGCAATCAGCACCCCGGCCGGACGCGCAGTAGTGTGCGTCAGCCAAACTGGTAACAATATAAACAGTTGCAGTAATAGAGCATATAAAGGCTCACCGAGCATGTCGAAGATGGGATTAACCGCTGCATATATATAGACTATAGAAATGATGGCCCTGTTTATCAGCGGTCTAGGACACCTCTCGTAGTCAGCGACGTATTTCGAAGCAAAAACTCTTTCAATTATAGCTGATGGCAAGTAGTACATTAGGACATTAATGCACCATAGACGCACAAAACAAGCCGCTACTATGACACCGGAATGTATGTAATTGCCTGGAAAAACAAGTATAGACTTGAATTTGAGACCGAACTCATGAGCTCATTCTCTGTGTAAGAGTGTACAGTTCACGAGCTCATTTAATTTGATCAAGAGCGTGAAGTACTGGAAAGAAAGAAGATGAACATGCACACGATCCTGTTGTTGATTGGCCCCTACGCAAGCAGACATGCCGTCTATGGTCAAATCAGGGCCTAGAGACAGTTCCCGAGATCAAGCTGGCCCGCGAAATGCCTCCTTGCTTTTGGCATCCAGCTAAGCATTCGCACAGAGCTATTGCTTGAGAAAGTGAGGTAAAGCGGCGAAAACGCGTGACTGTTGTGTAATTCGTTTTTTCCTGTCCTTAAGAGAACGACTTACAAGGTGAATTACGTTGCCTGCAGCATTGTTGTAGATTTCATACGCTCGTCGGAAAAAATCTTCGGTTGGAACTCTTTTGAAAGCTCTTGAGTTGTTCTCTCAGGATATCTCTTTGAATGGCGCGCACTTTAGCAAAGCAGGAACGTGATGAGCTGTGCTTGCATTCAGCAGCAATGCAATCGAGTTTGTGCAAAAGCTTGTCGTGTTCTGTTTACCGTACCCCTCATTTCATGTGCAGAGCTTCTATAAGCTATTTTTCGTTCCACTGTTTTTGTTTTTCAATTTTGATTCTAGTATCAAATGCTATCTAGCACTGAAAGATCCAGATAAAGCGATCTATGAGTCAGGGGTTGCAGGAGTGTTGAGCTGCCAGCAAGAAGATGAGGCTGTGTGGCTTTCAGGCAGGGGTTTTATTTTCAGTGCCTCGCTGGTTTCCTTTTGATTAGTTCTTACAGAGGTCGCTTAGCGGCTCTCGGTTCATAATCGAACACCCACCGCCAGTAATACTTAATTGCGGGAACTGTCTTCAAATTGTGAAAATCTATCAAAAGGTGTAGTTATGAAATACGAAATAATACCTTCAGGCCTCAGAACCTTCACTTCGTAGAGAAACAGCACAACACGTGCTGCCACACCAGGATAATAGGTAATGAATAGAGCCTGTAAAAGTAATTTTAAGACTCACTATTGGGAACGAAACGGGGTTGGTGAGGACTAAATATGAATGTTAGGCGGTAATTGACTTCTCAGTGCTGAAAGAAGTGTATGGTATCAAAATGCTGCTGGGCTTCCGTAAGCTTTCAAAATTGTTCAATTTTTGTAACTTCTTAGAATGAGTTTCGCAATGTTGTCAAACATTCATATGAGCTCATCTAACGGTTCAAGTTTCAAATCAGTAGCACATTCAGGTGGAATAATCGTCATCATCTTATTTACTATATATAAACTGCTATGCCCGTACGTGTGTGTCTATGTGTGCTTCTGTCTTTTTGTCACAAAATTCATAGCACCTAAAGAAGAACTTGGAGGGGTCGGGTCATGGTGCGGATGGGCGGGACCTGTGACCCATGGTAAGCCCCGCCCACGGTGCGGTGGGGGGGGGGGTGGGGTAGCATGCGCCCAATTATAAGTCGGCTCTAGAGCAGTCTCCTGACAGGGGAGCAGTGCCATAAAGTTAACAAAGGCTGATCGACCAAGTCGCTAACTTTCCTCACTCCCGAAATGGGCGGGCGTACTTCAGATGGGCGGCAATTCCCGTGTCACTGAAAAAAAACTATAACTTAGCTACTACAAGTCAGCTCGGAGACGGGAAAAGTGGAAATAAGGTTAGCACTGGGTTGTCAGACTGGAGGGAACCCAAAATGCGCGCGGCGTACTCTAGACGAGCGATGCTTCCCACAAAGATCGGTAACTCGGTTCCCCAAGAAGTTCAGAGGTCAAAGTCTATGATGAAGATGAACATCTGGCAAGAGTCCACCATGTTTGTGCTGAGGCCCGCCCACTGTGGGCGGGGCGTGCATTTGAACACGAGGTACTAGTTCAAAAACTCGTAGTTGCACCACAAACGGCTCAAAAAAGTGGATTATGGTTCCTAAGTGATCACGTATTGGAATGTGTAGGGCACTCCCGTTGTGGGCGTAGCGTGCGCCGAGGTGGGCGGAGTTAATTTACAAGATTCCTGAAAGGCTTCCGGAACACTCCAGACTCTGGGAAAAACGGGATAAGGCACTGAGGGTTCATCAGTTGAGAAGCGTGCTCATAAGTGGGTGAAGCCAAAAAATCGTAAACTTGTTCCAGAGCACTCCAGACACCGGGCGAAAGTAATTAAAGATTAGCGGGAGGGGTCATGGGTTGAGAAGCGCGAGGCATACATTGTGTGTCCCGAAGTGGATGTAGCCAAATTTAAAAATTCGTAAAACGGTTCCAGAGCACTTCAGACACTGGGAAAAAGAGATCAGCGGGAGGGGTCATGGGGTGAGAAGCGCGAGACATACGTTGTGGGCGAAGCGTGTACCGAGGTGGGTGTAGCCAAATGAAAAGAAATCGTATAACTGTCCCAGAACACTCCAGACACTGGGAAAAAGTAGCTTAGAATCAGCGAGGGGTCAACGGTTCACAAGTGTCAGGCACACTCTCTTGAGCGGAGCGTGCGGCGAGGGCGGAGTTAATTCACAAGATTCCTGAAATACTTGCGGAACACTCCAGACACTGGGGAGGAAAAACTCGAGAACTGTATAAAACGGATTAGGCACGGATGGGTTCGATACAGTTGAGAAGCGCAAGGCATACGTTGTGAGTGGAGCGTGTTCATAGGTGGGGTGGAGCCAAAAAAAATCGTAAAATAGTTCCAGAGCACTCCAGACATTGAGAAAAAATAGTTTAAAGTCATCGAGGACTTACCGATTTTCCAGACGTCATCTG